ATAAAAAGAGAAAGATATACTGTGGTAACGCTAGGTAACTTGTGGTAACTTGCTTATTTCACGCATGCGCACTCCATTTTGGCCAACACTAACATCAAAGGTGCCGACCAAGAAGACTAGAACCAGGAGAGTCAACTCGGCGGTAGTGGGGGTGAGGCAAGAAGTAGAAACGAACGACACCCCCCACTCTTGCGCTTCATCCTCTCTATTGCTCTACATAGTCGGTTTCAATTCGTGACTGCGCATGTCAACGTACCTTGTTTCTGTTTGATTGAATTTTGAACTAAACATAAACCGTGTAAAATTTAATCCGATGTGATTTACGATGCCCAAGCGAGTGTGCTGTGTTCGAAATTGTGACTTTAATCCTGGAGATAAAAAAAATCGAAAAACAATATTCCAATTTTGTATAAATGTGGCACTATTAACACACGGTACTTATCGCCAATGATTTCACGTTTCATATGTAATTTGATTATATACGATTTCATTATTAATTGTTTCGCAACAATATTGAGGGCTTATTACAGTTACATTTATTTCAGCAAACGAATCTTATAAAACAATTAATTTTTAGAATAGTTTTTTAAATTTTATACTTCGAAAAAGAAATTATGCTTTTGTTTAAAATTTCAAGCATTCTTGATACATAGGTTTCAGAAGTTGGCTGATCCCACTGCATCCAGGTTAATTCCTCGTTGCGATGATAAACTTTTACATTCATATTAACGTCGAGAACAACTATCAAGAAGGTTGTGAGGTCATCTTCTGATCGAATGAATGCAATGCAATGATTTTGTATGATCATAGTCCAATCTGTACCTGGCAGTTCAATATTCTTGGAGTTTTCCTTTATACGCAAAAACAAACCGCTTTCCTTCGAATCATACATATTTCAATATATGTTATTCCAATGACAACGAAAATATGCTTTTAAAACTCCTTCAAACGTTAATAATATTCTGTAAATAAAAAAAAATTACTGTAATCATGTTCCAAAAGTTGTATACAATACAGGATTTGCCTATAAACAAGTTATAGCGTTCATTTAATGACCATCATGTGCAGTATAATTTTTTTTACAACTTACATTCTGTTTTTTTCTTCTTCTGCTGTTTTCTCCTTGATTGGATTTCGAATTCTGTTTTATTTGCAAGTGACAATGTTACGTTAAGATTATAGCCACCAAGAAGACTAGAACTTCTTGGTTATAGCTCACAACCGATGCGCGCATGCGCAAACTTTGGGACGATGCTCAGTGAACTACTGAGCATCGTCCCCAACAGGGTGGGGACGATGCGCAGTGAGCTACTGAGCATCGTCCTTAACAGGGGTTGGGGGTAAGCAGCGAGTGACGCTTTTTGACTCACCCCCACCACGCGAGTTGACTCTCCTGGTTTCTAGTCTTGCATGATGCATCCATTGTCCTTGTTTAACGTTTGGTGAGCAATAAGGATAAACGATGCATTATGCGCATCATGCGAGAAACGGAACGCACCCCTAGTTTTAGTCTTCTTGGTGCCGACAGAGAGTTGCGCTACTGTATATACTGTGCCCATGCTTTGAGCTCTTATGGCTCCGGCACACCAGCGCGATGTTCGTCGCGTGCGACACGCGATATCCAATGAGAGTATACCTTTAAAATGAGAACATCGGTAAAGCTGTACACTCATTGGATATCGCGTGTCGCGTGCGACGAACATCACGCTAATGTGCCGGAGGCATTACAATGTTTTTAAAAGTACAAACAGTGTCTTCCCATGGAGTAGTACCTTTACAGAAGGAAAACGCTATCGGTTGTTTCCATGGACAAATATCATATATGCCTGAACTTGCGCAGGTAGTCGATAGTGGGTGCAGTCGAGTTGCCGCTACGGGGGTGATCCCGATTGATCACGGCTCGATTGGACACTACCAATCACAGCGACCGGTGCTTAGGAGCTTTGTAGTCTCAAGTGCTGGGAATGATTCGTGTTCAATTGAGCCGTGTCCAACTGGGTGCCACCCCCGCTACGAATGCTTCGATGCATTTGATTGACCAATCGGAAGGAAGAATTTTACAAATTGATCAATCAAAAAATGCTTTGAAGCACTCGTAGCGGCAAAATTCGACTGCACTCAGTTTCTGCTGGTTTGTTTTATTAACAACACTCTGATTGGCTGCTGCCTTTTTGCTTTCTGCTTTTCTGTAAAGAGGTGCGTTCCATTAGTCTGGATGTACAATAGGACTGCGTTCGGATTCCCATCTGGATACTCCCCGGATGTGTCATATTATTCTTGTTGTTTACCGAATGTTAAACAAGGATGACATGACACTCGGGAGCACCCGGGTGGGAATCCGAACGCAGCTAAAGTGTTTTAAGCTTTAAGTCGTAAGAAATTGACCAATTACAGTCGAATTCGAGAAGAATAATCGATTATGATTTGTCCATTTCTTATGGCTTAAAGCTTAAAACCCTATTGTAGATCCGGACTTATTGATTGCGTTCAGCAGATTCAACAATTTTGCAACCGTTTTATGATTCTTCGCTGAGATAAGATTATTCTTTTAAATCTAAAAGCATAATCCAATCAGTGTGACAAATCATAAAACGGTCGCAAAATTGTTGAGTCTGCTGAACGCAGCCTTTGACTGTGAGTACTGCAAATTTATAGTTCGCATCACGTATAATATAGATTTTCAGTACTTGCAGTGAATAACGGAACGCAGCCAAGGTGTAAACCCAGTCTTAAACTGACCTACTCCTTTAATTAAAAATTAAGAATTTCCTTTATATACGCACAGGATGGAGGCATAAAAAGGAGAAAAAGGATCAGTCAATCTTCTACGATGATTCTAAAAAAAAAATATCCTACATGTTTTAAGTTTAATTTCATCACTTCCCAGTAAACAAGAAACGTTATGAAACACTATAGTAACGTTGCAGTAACGTTACAACGTTGCTGCAACATTTCTTGCTTAGTGGGTTTTGAGTAATTATAATAATTAAACTAATTTCTTTTATTAATCTATTATTCAATTTATTACTATTACTTATTACTATTGTTATTACTACTACTATTGATGTTACTATTACAACTAATATTTAATATTATTTATTACTAGTAAGTAGTTTTTATTAATTTATTTTCATTAACATCAATTTTATTGATTTATTATGTTTTATTAATATTATATATAATTAATTAATATTATATTTTGTTTCAGTTACATTCGAGTGTCTACATCGCTAATTGGATAACTTAATAGACAATTTTTTTATTAATTCAACAGAAAAATCCTAAGCACTTAAATATCTAAGATTGACATGATCAAACGAAACACCTTTTGTTTTAAAAATAAAAGAATTTTACCTCTTTTTATCCTTTTTAAAGCCTGCTTTGACCGGTCCTTAATCAAAATTTTTGATGTGTCTGTGATAAATTATTATTTAATATCTCACTTTCTGTCCCTATTTCACATGTTGTATCTATATAATATAACAAAATAATATATTTCAAGACTAATACAATATAACACATATGTAATAAAATAAAAAATAATAAAGTAAGATTATAGATTGAAAATTTAAATATGGTATGGTAAATATTATTATAACTTATTATAAATAAACAAACCTATATTATTTAATCTATTATGATTCTCTGTACGTTCTTCTTGATTTTGATAAAGATCCAATTGAACCTCTTGATGCATTTGATTTATTTCATCTGCAACTATTAATCAAAATAATAATTTTTATAAATACCGTTTTATAAAAACATATTATAGTTAAAAAAAAATTTTTAACGTACTATTTGATACAACCTTATATGAAGAAGTAACAATCATATTTGTTTTATCATTTTATGGATAATATTCATCAAGATTAAGAGGTTCTGAAAAAATGTTTTAAATTTAAATTATTAAAAACTTCTTGTCATAACAATGTTCTGCATGCTTATTTCAAACATAAATTTTAATAAATTTTATAACAATTTATTGATTTATATCAATATACCTGGCAATAATAAAGTAGGTATAGCAGCCTTGCTTAATTTTTTAAAAAATTTGTATTTATTTTCAAAATGCTCTTTACATACAGTTCGGTTATGAATTTTATCCTCTGAAATACTCAATAAACTTGTATTTCTACTTACGCGTAACCATTGTAAATATCTGTTTTTATTTATACGTGGTTTTGGAAACGTAAACATTTTCTTCGTAGTCGATGTGAAACCTGCTATTGCACATTTCTTGTAATAATTCATACTTGTTGATAATCGAAGACAATTTTAGCGAAATAGTAATAAAAGGCCTGTGGAATCAGCTCAAGAAATGAAAATAGAAAATTTACACCAATCAACAATATACGACGCCATTAAAATTAGTTCGCCCCATGTCTACGGGCGGCGTTGGTTCCAGTGTTGTTAAGCCAAATGTCCACGATCTAGAAATCGATCCAAGATCTCGGACAGAGAAAAAATTAACAAATCATATTTGAACAATTTGATCACATGATCATTGCGATTGGTTGATTCTTTCTTCATCCGAGGTCTCGGACCGATTTTTAGCATCGTGGACACTAGTAAATAGGAGATCATTAGTCGCCTGTGTAAAATTTTTTCAAAAATGTTGAAAATTTTAATATATTTTACATATTTACATATGTATACATATTTATAAATATATATAATATATTTCTATATATGTTTACATATGTAAAATATATTAAAATTTTCAACATTTAAAAAAAAATTTTACATATTTACTAGTGACCGGTACGTTAATACTGAAGCTATATTGGACTTGCATTCGTCAGAAACCGGCCCGTCTAAAGCTGGAAACACAATAGACACAGGCAATAGGCACAGACAACAGGTAATAACGAGCCGTCCAATTAGAGCTCTGGGATATAATATCGATGTCACGTCCGTAATAGCTTGAAAATTTCTTTCCGAACAGACTTAAGTATAGTCCGACAGTAAACACGTGCACCAGAGAAGAACGCA